ATGTATTCGTTTTATTGCCGAATAAACAATGGAAACAATAAAGTAAAATAAGGTACAAAACTAAGAGCTAAACTAAGCAATGACATACATTAATAAATGACAAAGGACACATACATACTACACATACATAAGTAAGTCCAGATCTAGCAGTATTAATGCATAAGTATGTATAAGTACCGTCTAAGAACATCGAATCACAACAAATACAAAATGATACATAACAATACAACCAAACAAACAAAACAAAAGCAAAACATTTGAGATTAGGTTTGAGTTCGTGTTTGTGTTTGTGTTTGCGTTTGAGATTCCAAGTGCACCCTGTGCTTAGCATATACTCGTAAGATAGTATAATTCGATTGGACTTTGTCATATTTATGGCTCCTGTCGGCTTAAAGAGAGCACGCCAAATGCAAGTAAGGAAAAGAAGTCAACGAGTAAGTTAAAGTTTCGCTTAAATGCCTTACGACTAGATTTTTGGCTGGGAGCAAAGTAGACTGTAAACAGTGGGCTGTGAACGGTGTGTTGGAAAGAATGTAAAGTGAACAGTGTTGAAAAGTTGTAAGTTGTAAGTTATAATTTGTAAAAGGGCAAGTTACTCGTCTAAAGACTGGCGAAAGTCCAATTGTTCTGATTCCTGCTTATTGCACCTAGATTTTCTTTTTTTCTCATCTATTCAAGTATGAAATCTTGTCATGCTTATGTGTATAAGTATAAGTATTTACTATACTCGTAGCTAATACAATTCGTATTTACCTATTTATTTATTTATTTGTTTATTTTCTTCTTTTCTTTGATCGTAGTTAATAATGCAGCAAACACTTTGAAAAATAAAGTTTTGCATTTGGAAAAACAACACGTTAAGATTTCGATATACGATGTACAATATTCGAAATTCGATATTCAATATTCGATTTTTCTCATTTTCCGAGTTAAGATATTTTACAGTTGCTTTTAGTTCAAATTGAGTTACATGCTTGCTGAACCCTGTACCTCTAACTAAGTATTATGAGCTGTGTTCCTTACAGATCTATTCTTACATCTTTAGATCATACATATACACATGTATGTATATATATATGTACGTATCGCATTAACACTAACAACTAATGGCAATTTCTTTCTATTATGCATAATTTAGCTTTTCATTACGGATATATGTACGTATATATATATATATATATATATATACATATATATATATATATATATATATACATATATATATATATATATATATATACATGTATGTGCATGTATGTATATATATATATATATATATATATATATATCATCATAAATCCGTATTTGTTTATATATGTTTTTCCATGGTTTATATATTATTCTTTTGTGTTGCATAGATTTCAGTTTGACTTCAATTTTATTACTTATTTTCTCGCTTTACTTGGCTTGAGAAAAAAAAAAAACACGAACAAGCTAATTTTTTGTTTAATCCTTTTTTAGTTTCTCTCTAGACCTGTACTGTCGTAATATTTTGTTTTTCTTTAAACTAGATCTTAGCCTTACACATATTTGGCTATAAGCAGTTAAAAAAAAATTACGCTTAAATTACTTGTTATCGTTATTGTTATAATTATTGTTTTTCTCTATTAAGTTGTATAGCGACCTATAAATTATGTTTCTTTTGTTTTCCAATTACTTTTATTATCTTCAAACCTTCTTGGCTAAAATCTAATGCGTCTTTGAATATGCTGTAGTGAGAGAATCAAAATTAAAACGAAAATACAACAATAATAATTATGCACTAAAAACAAAGATTTTCTTTCTGTTTTTTTTCTTTATTCGTGTGTTGTTTATTCTGTGTGGTCTGAGCGGCTCTGCAGACGATGCCTGTTGGGAGACCAAGTCCAGGTTCTGAATGGCCGATAGTGTTTTTAGATTCGTAACATTGGCATTGCGGCTGAGTTGGAGCTGCCCTTCCTACTACAGGGTATACGAGTATTTTTTATAAATGTCTACATAAGTATATAACTCTAGAACTATTTAGCTGGCAGTGATATTTTCTTATTGGCTTGGCTTCTTTGGCTGTGTCTGATACGTCCTTAGTCGTCCTTATGAGAAAAGTGTGTGCAACAGAGTGGGATAGAGCAACTGAGTCACACGTAAAGTTAGACACGGATAGAGAGAGAGAGAGAGAGAGATAAGATTAATTAAGTGGCCAGGAAGATGGCAGTCCGGTTATGTTTGTATCAACTCAAATAGAAAACTTTTGATGCGTTTGCGACTTGTTTGGTCCTTTTTCAGTTAGTATTGAGTATTTTTTTGTTTCTTATGGATGTTTCTTGGGGATGAGCAAAAACGAAAACGATTTACATTAGAGCTGGCTGAGGCTAAGTCTTTTAACGGATCGTGTAATGGAACCTTAGAAACAAAGTGGCGCTTCAAAAAGTTTTCTGGACGGATATTACAATTTGTAGCACATGATGTGGTCAATTCGATATTCGATGTGAATAAGAAGTTCTAAGCGTACACAAGTGTATTCGAGAGATTGTACCCGCTGCAGATGATTCATGTTTGTCTTAAGTGTATATACCCAGCAAGATATTGAGTTCTTCTGAGATTTATCAGTGGTTCTTCTACAATTGGCAGCTCGTTCTTCAGCACTGTTCCAACAGCTGCAATGCCAATGTGAATTACAACAAACCAAAAAAAGAACAAAAACATTATCAGGTGATTGAGTGTGTGTGTGTGTGTGTGTGAGTGTGTGACTTCAATACTATGCAATCAATTTGTGACAAATACTTTAATTTATGCTGTTTGTTGGTCTATAGCGTACAATAATATGCGTTATGTGTAATTTGTAATTATAGCAATTGGGGAATATTATGAACTATGTTTTTTCCTGGTACTTTTTTTTCTAATTTCCTCAACTTTTTTCGTTATTAATTTAATTGATGTATGCTATTAATGCTGATGAGCTCGCTTAAAAATTCCACACTTGCGGCTTAACAATGATGATTAATAATAATACGGAAATAGACTTCCGTTTCGGTTTCCGTTTCCGATTCCGTTTCTGTTTTCAATATATGCTTGCACATGTGTGTTTAATTAAAAATACGCGTCATGAATGTGTTTGTGTGTGTGTGTGCTTGCCTTTTTTTCGTAGTATTTTTACTATTATAATGCTTATGGTTGTTTGGTTATATAATGATGCGCGCTACAGATTGACCTAATTTACTATGTATGCATGTATGTATGTATGTATTTATGTAAATGTAAGTATCCTCGGCATTTAAGTTTTTTTTTTTTTTTTTGGTATTTTTGTTTATTATTTGTTGTCATTGTTTTTGTGGTATTTATGCGTATTTCTTGTAGTTTGTATTTTATTTTCTCCATTTACTAAACTGTCGCTGATATTTATTGATATTTTGTTGTTCTTTACATTTAGTTTGGTATCATTTTCTGTTCTTGTATACAAAATTGTTGGTTTTCCTTTTGGTTTTTTTTTTGTATTTGTATTGTTTGCTTTGTGTTTTTTTTTGTGTTTTGTTTTGTTTTAATTTTTATATAATTTTTGTTTTGTTTTTCCTTTTAGCGGGTAATACAAATGCTTAGATTTAGAAAAAAAAATGTTTATATTTATATATATATATATATGTATACGCATACCATATATGCATTTGTATGTATATATGAGTAGGTTTTATATTTAGAATTATTAATATGCTGTTCTTAGTTAACCTACATTCGAATACATGAACACTTCAAGATATCATTTTGTTTTGTTTTAATAAGTGATTTAATTGAATTGAATTTAAACTAACTTTTGTTTTTTTTTCCTGCTTTTTTTTGCATCTTTTTATTCTTTTCTTTCGCTTAACTCGTTCTATTTTAATTTTTTTTGTGTTTTTTTTTTTCGTTTTTTATATTCACTTATTTTTTTTTACTAGACGAGAGACGAGCCTTAGTTTTTAGCTACCTTTCTCTTTCTATGCTTGAAACAGTTGCAGCCGATGTTGTTGTTGTTGTTGTCGCTGCTGTTCGTGATGCTTTCGAGTGATTGCAGTTGCAGTTGTTGTTGCCGCTGCTGCTGCTGCTGATGTTGTTGTAGTTTTGTTGGTTGTTAATACAGAAATGCAATTATATTCGCGGGCGTCGTCTCGACTTTGTTGGTGTTTGTTGTGTTGCTGCATGACAAGCAAAGTGAGGAGCAGGTTGAGTGTGCGATGTGATGGCGTCTACGGGGGCGTATGAGTAATTCCGCGTAAATGTTGTGTGTGATGTTGGTGTGTGGTGAATTTTCTATTTATGTTTGTAAAGAGTGTGTGTTTGTGTGTGTGTGTGTGTGTGTGTGTGTGAGAGAGAGAGAGAGAGCGTTGTTTCCTCTGCTTTCCTTTCCTTTCCATTCTTTTCCTTTCGTTTCGTCTGTCTTTGTGTTGTTCTTTCCTTCTTGGTTCTTGCACACACTTTGTCCTTGTCCCTGGGCAACTTCTATTTTTATAACTTTTTGACTTGAATCCATGGGGCATGCACACAGTTGCAGGCGCCACGTGCAACTGCTTGCGATGTCCTTGGGCGCTGGCTGAGCTGACTAGCTGCAGCTGCACCCAAACTCCGTTTCCTGCTGCTGCTGCTCGTGATTGTTATTAATTCCTATCAATATCATCATCTTTTCGATCTGCCTATAATTTTCGTTGTTGAGTTTTTCTTTTGTTGGTTGATTCGTTTCCCTTACTTTTGACTTTTATGTTAGTTCTGGTTCGGCTTAGTCCGCTTTCATTCGTTGTGTGGTTGGGTCTATTGATATCTTATCTTTATCTTTATATTAATCTTTATCTTTATCGTTATCTTTGTCGTTATCTTTGTCGTTATCGTTATCGTTATCGATATTGAGGTGCCTCTGTGCTTTACTCTCTTGTTGATTGAAAATGACTTCGATGTGTTAGCATTGACGATAGTTTTTTTGGTTGTATTTGTAAGATACGTTTTTTTTTTCAGTTTTATTTTGAACTTATGAAGCGGTTGCTGCTGCTGTTGTTGTTGTACTAAGTAGTTGAATGTTGATGTTGTTGTTTTTATATAGAGACGACATATTGCATTTTGTATTGTTTCTAATACTCCCAATATCATGCATCCTGTATTTCACCTTTTAATCCAGGCACCCTGTGGTGTTGGTTATGTCCTAAACGATTCGCTAAATCCTGTACAACATCACGAAATATAACTGTATCTATATTTTCACCTAATAAATACAACAAAAACCAATCGCCCATCTTGGAACGACGAACGATTATTTCAATAGCGTCACGACGCACTAACCTGAAATATCGTATAGAAAAAACAGTGTTAGAAAGGGTTAAGTGAATTATTCGTATGGGGACTCACCTAAATCGCATTCGAAATAAATAGACCCTCATCCGAGGCGAGAATATAATAACCACCCTGTATATTAGCGTTAATAATGTAAGTAACGTTAATAATATAAACCAAAACCAAAGGAAAATGTAAATTTTCTCATTAACAACGTTTAATGGTAAAATGCAAATGGCGTCGTGTTTTTCCACCTAAACCAAAGAGCCACAAACATATATATTTAAATAGTATAATTATTATCACTCATTTGGAGCAATTACTCACCTCCCCACTTGAACCATATTTAAAAAATGTACATTTGGTCATTCTGGGAAATATGTAAATCATCGGATCCATGCGATCTTCCTGATCGGTCTCCATATAATCTATCACATCCAAGCCAAATGTCATAAATTCGCCATCGAAAAATCGATTCATAAGAAACATTTGACCTATGCAACAAAAACGACATATACACACAGAAATATATATTTACACATATGTATAAGTAAAAGTTTGGCCGACGATAATATGTAGTATACGATATGTAGACAGTGTTTATAAAGTAAATTGGCGGGTGTAATTTATGGGTTTATTGCTGCCTCCAACTTGCCGTCTGTGTGTGTGTAAGTGTGAGTGTGAAAATGAGTCTGAGTGTGTATGAGTGTGAACTCAGAGCTATCTGTTATTGTTAAAAATCAGACAATTTGATAAGTCAGTAAATTATAGAATATGAATGGGTTCACCTTTCCGGCTCCCGGCTTATTGAATATTGAGGGGAAAGAACTACAAAATATAATAATCAATCATTTGTTGATTTGATCTTGAAATTGGTCTCGAGGTTATTCGATTAGTCCTTTACGTTAATGTTCCAAAATCAAAAATCAATGTTCACGAAATCGCTTCATCGATTTTAGACTAATTTATCGATGCTCTGTCGGTTATCGATAAGTCGATAATTGAAAACAAATTTCCATTTACTTGATACCATTTTCCAAATCAAATTATACAATTTCAAAGACGAACAAAGCTTAAAGTCTATAAAATCCCAAACCCAGATCTATCAGAATATAAACTTTCTCAAAATCGATTAATGCCATATGTTTTGTATCGATTCTTTCGCAATCGTTGCTCTCATAAGGTATCGATAAGTTTAAATAAAACATACCAAAATGAATTGAATAAAATTTATTAAACTCGACATCCCATAAGAAAAAAAAGATCCCATAAGAATAGATTGAATTGATTCGATAGTTTGTCGAACACATACGCACGTATATACATATACATATACATATATATATATTTTAAACTTAAAAAAATGCAAGCTATAAATTTAACTTTGTTAAATGGGATACATTCCCTCACATTCCCCACCGCAAAAAGCGTTTCTTGTAAACTCATCAGCCGTCAACATTCAATTAGTCTGAACTCGGACTATTTGTTAATACGTATACTTGTGCATGTGCATATGGTATTGGTGTATTCTATAATTGTTTATTTCTCTATTTCTTATGTATTCTGACAGTTAATTATTTTGTTAGATTTCCGATTGTACCGCACGTGGCGCACGTTGTCCGAAAAAAAGAAACCAGGAATCCGCAGCAATAAGGAAAATTTGTTTATTTTGATGCGGCCTGCGGCTACGGTCAGTCGATAAAAATTCGTCATTGATTTTCCTTGGAAAATGAATGAATGAATAAAGAAAGCTCTATTCGGGCATATATGTATTCTGTATTGTGTGTGCATGGCATGAGTTTGGCGTATACTAAAGATATCGTGTATAGTTAACCCCAAATTTGTTTATTGGATTGTGCAAACTGGAACAGTTCTCTGCAGCTGCACCTCATGATGATCACGAGCAAGCAGAGGATGCATATGGATGATGGATTATGGATTATGGATGATAATGATAATGATAATGATAATGATAATGATAATGATAATGATAATGATAATGATAATGATAATGATAATGATAATGCGGCTGTTACTCACCTATCACATTTATTAGGGCGAGCAGTTCACACACGTAGTATCTGTACGCCCACCAATTGTGATATCTAAAATTTTTAGAAATTTTGATTATAATGGACCATAAAGTAGAAAGTGGGCATTTGCTTACCTTAAATTTTCCCATAAATAATCTAAAAGTAATTTCTTTTTTTGTTTTTTCTCGGCTTCGGAACAAATGCCTATATCTAAGTCCATGATGAGCGCATGAATTTTGCCACCCTCCCAAGACTTCCACAGCCATCTTGGTGTGTAAAATAAGATTGCCTGCAAAAAACAAAAAAAAAAAAAAAATAAGTAAATAGAGAGGAAACGCAGAGATGGAGATAGAGATAGAGACAGAGATACTTATGTGTATAGATATATAAATATATATGTTTATAGGCATTAGTTCTGTAAAGGTGAGTTGTTGCCTTTGTGTAGGCGTCTGACGCATTGGAATTGTCGTAAAAGCGCTTAAATTTGACAAGTGACAATCGCCAGCTGTTTTCTTAGGCATACGCCATAGAGAATCCCAGGCGCGTAATTCCAGTTAACAATGCCAAAGGTATTATATGCTTAAGATTGCCTTTGGATGACCTTCCTAGATGAGTGCTCCCATGCATTCCTATAATTATGTTATTTGCTGATTTCGATACTTAGACAAACATATAGACGGACGAACAAACCGACAGGGACAGACAGACGGACATATTTATATGTAAGTATTTATAGACATGTCATCAAAACAATTAGCTGTGATCCATTAGCGAAAGTAGAAGCAACAAAAGACACATATGCGACATGCGAGAGACACGCAGACACAAAATATTGTTGGTGAAGAAACAGACTCTGGCAACGGCTAAGATCTTGCCCAATTAAATGGATCTCTTGTCGGACATTTGGTATTTATGTGCGCTCTGATGACATATTAGTAATAACTTGTATCGTAAATTTAACACTAAATTGTGCAAATGTTTACTTTGGCGGCCGCACCTCGCTGCGGTTTGCCCAGCTCGATGTGGGCAGGTGCTAATCCCTGACTGCTCAGGGAGACAATGGCTTAGTGGACGTGGCATTCTAATGCCCATTGAGGTGAGAGTTCAGTTTGTTTAGACGGTTGCCCAAATGGCGGCTGTCCGCGCCAATCTTACGTCTGTTCCATTGCCCGTCTGTCAGGCGTCTTTTTTGCATTTTCCATTTTCATTTGGCATTTGAGTTTCGGTGTTGGCAAATGCTAAAATAACTATATAAGTCTATAGAGCCCGAACGTCAACGTCATGACGGGCACGGTCATGGCAACATTTGAATTTTGCATCTGTTGCAACAATACGACTTTAAAATCGAAATTGGCGTAGCCGCATCGTTTTATAGCTGGGCAACATCTGCGGCACATTGTATCGCCTTATGACGGCAAGAAAACAACAACGAAAACAACAAAAGCAACAATAGGAAGCACAAAAGAAGAACTAAAACAAATGGACAAGTGATGGGCTCACAGCTTGCAACGCCTTGCCGGAAGTCAAATGATGCGTTTGATTTGGTTTTTGCCTTATGCGAGCCTCAGCGAGCATTTCCCTTTTTTCTTGGCCCTCATCGGGGGCATATTTCTATTTGTTTTCCTCTCGCCATCTCTCTTTGGCCCCCTGGCTACTGCTCAAGTTGCAAATTGGCTTGGCCCGACGACATGCAACAGTAATAATCAGAACATCATCCAAAATCCTTGTGGGTGCCCGGGCAAAAGGGCTTTCCGCTAGGAGAGGGGAGCACTGACTGGGGCGGGGCTGCGTAGCGGGACGCATATGCGTGTGTCTGAAAAGCAATTTGGCAAGCGTTCAAATTGCCATAAAAATATCGCATAAATGCAACTGCAATCAAAGCAAAATGAAGTAAATACCAACAGCCGCAGCCAGCGAAAGAAAACGCACCAAAGTCGGCGCGTCCAACACAAAAGACGCACAGTGGCGCAAAGGTGGCAAAACTAATACCAAAATATTATTTAATATTTGCTCAGCTTTATAAAGGACATCTATTAAGAGAGTTCAATTGCATGTCTATCAGTGAAAAAATATATATTTTCAATACAAAATCTAACAAGAAAAAAGCAAAAAGGCAACAAATCTAGCCTTTTTCGCTGCGGTAAGACCCCAATGAAGAAAACAATTTCTTTACTGTGCTTTTTTAAGCTGTTTTAAAATGAAACCCTATTCGATTATACAAAATTATACGTTTATGTAAAATTAAGTAAATGTCATAATCACTTATTCTGATCAATTTTTGTCTTTGAAAATTCAGGAATATTATAAAAAACTAATATAGCACCAGATTGAAATCCATGTGGCGTAGAGAAGCGTATTGCTTGTTAAGATCGACAAAAAAACCTCCATGGACACGAGACTTTAAATTCAATAAGAACGAATTTTCATCCGATCGTTCCTATCGCAGCTGTATGATATGATGGTCTTATGTTGACAAAATATTGTAGGTATGAAAGCAACAAGAGAATGGAGAAATAACATGAAAATCTTAAAAGATTACCAAACAATAAAAGGAGCTAGAATTGTGACATATTTGTTGTAAAAGTTGATTGGCATTTAAGCAATGAAATCAATTGCATTGTATTTAACCTGAGCACAAGGTGCGCAAAGCAATGAAGCTATAAGAAGTGGTGCAAATAACCATGTAAAATTAAAGGAAATTTTGCATTTTCAATTAGGCAAAGTAATTTAAGCGCATTGTGGTCATTGAGGAGTCCAAGCACAAACAGTCATACCCAGCTCCAGCATGTGGGCGGGCTGTCTGCCCAGCTAAGGCTAGATCTGTAGAGACTGAAGGCAAATGGCGAGTGCGCCTGTTGCCAGTTGCCAGTTGCCGGTTGTTGGTAGCCTGATCCCGGTTCCGTGTTAGCTTCCCACTCCCGGATGACGTGAATAAAAATAAAAGCACATAAGTCAAATATAAACACATGTCCGTGCAACTCTGGTGGGGAGTCCAGTCGACGTTGGCGTCACGCTGCCAACCCGTCTCCCAGCGCACACGAACTTCGAAACAAACCCAGCTAAACCAGCCACAACCCCTTCCCCAACTCAACCCCATCCCCAACGCCAATCCATTCCATCCCGACGCAGCATAGCTACGCAGATTCGTATCGCATCTCCGCTCCGCACTCTGCTTTTCCATTCGGGCCAGATTTTTGTTTTTGTGCGCTGGCATTTGGCCAGAATTATTATTTGTTCACTTTTATGTTTGTCTGTGCCTTTTCAATAAATATCCAGCTAGGCAAAAACAAAATAAAAAAAAACGAAATTTCAATTTTTGACATATTTGAGGGGAGCGCTTGATCGATATGAACCGATCGGGGACGGATTCGAAATCGAATTGGAATTGGAAATGAAAGAAAAGTATCAGGGAAATGGGCACGGAAAGGCAACGGGAGGGGAAGCGAGATCGTGAACATGCTTGCCTACTGCAGGCAATTTTGCTTTTAAATTTTATAGCTGCATTGTCCAACTTAATGGCCAGGCCATTAGCGAGCGCGATCAATTGTTGGATCAGCAGATGATGGTTGCCGCTCGATCCCCACCACCCACTCGCAATCAATTATGATCGCCTGCATCAGGGTCCTGAAATCACAAGCATATGTATATAATTGTAACGACCGACCTATCTATCTATCTGTCTATCTGTCTATCTATCTAGATATCTAGCTATTTTGGGATATGGAAAGTTAACTATGTTGATTCCAGGTGTTCTGGGTAGTTCTATATAAGTAGTTGTTGTCCACAGATTTATAGCTTTGCTTGTTTTCTCGTGGCATTTATGATCGTTGACTTTTATTATTTATGCACACATACATATACATGCATGCATGTATACACTTATTGTTGTTGTTGTTATATATGCATGTAGATGGCAATGCTTTAAAAACTGCATCCATTTGATTTCAGGTCGCACCCGTCGTCTTTATTAATAAATCCACAAATTAAGCAGAATGGAAAATGTGTAAATTATAGAAACGCCGTTCACGCGTCATTAAGCGGGGAGAATACCATAATAAATGTATTTATAGTTATTTGGGTGACTATGACGGCGACGTCTATAATCGCCGATGTGACACTAACCGAGAAAAGCAACGAGCCCAGCGAGGCTCTGCCCCCTCTGCCACACACACACACACACAGTCACTCACACAGTCACACACACAGTCACACACAGACGCACACACACCCACAACTGTGACAAAAGTGTGGTAAAAATATACATTTAATATTTGTACATTGTTAGCGGGAAGATATATCATTGTGTAATCGTTCAGCGCCCCTCGCCGCAACTCAGCTTGGACTGGCCACTCGACGGATCCCCCAACCCCCAACCCCTTGGTATGTGCGGTGGGCAGCGTCGACAGCGGGAACAACGACATATTTAACGATCTATTATTCTTGTGACAAAGTAAGTCTTTTGACTTAAGTAATTAAAATTATTATTTTGAATGCATTAGAAATCTAAAATATACAATTTTTTTTTTGAAAACCATCATTTCTTTATTAACTTCTGTTTTTGAATACTTTTGAATTTAATGGGCCTTAAGGTATCAATTAAATTAAAATGTAGTGCACAAGCTTGTACATCTTTTGAATAAAGACCATGGAGAAATACAACATTGTCTTCTTATTTGCCATATAACAATTTTTGATCTTTTTTCCAGTGTGAGGTATATGATATACTTGTCTGATGCTGATTAGGATTTCTTTTATGTTACAGGCACAGTTCAGCTCATAGTTCCTGAACCAAACCAACATACATATGTAACATATATAAATTATTTCATTTATGGAACGAGTATTCTAATTGGATTTCTATTATAAACTTAATATGCTTCCTTCCTAAAACTAACTAAAACTCACAAAATGTTTTAAAATGCGAGAGACGGCTCTTCTAGACTTCACTTGGAGGAAGCTAGGAGGATTCAGGACCATATTTATATGAATAATATTAATGATGTTTGACTGTGAAAGTGTTGAAGTATAAGGACTTTGAAAGTATTCGAAATTTGTTAAACCCTTCGATCAATATGTAAACAAACAAACAAACATATGCACATACATAGTAGTACGTCACAACATAGCCCAGTCAACTGTTGCTGGCCTTGAGCATGCGTAAGTGAAATGTTCGCAACAGCAACAAATCGGGTAATACGGATATGTTTAAACATTTTCATTTCATTGCCTATGCGCATTCAAGTTTCTTGCGTTTCAAAGGCCAGCCAGCAACAACAACAATGAATCGAA